ATTTTATTTTATCTTTTGTTCGTCCCTCTGCAGCGATCAAGATCTTCCCGTTCTCACACGTGGCGAGCCGCTTCGTGTGCATACTCGGCGTGAGCGACGACCGACCCGAGGTACGTACGGCCAAGCCGGGGCGAACTGTTGGCTTTGTTCGCTTGTTAACTCCAATGAACGCTCGTCCAGGTGCGGGATGAGGCCAAGCGAGGCCTGCGTCCGTTCGTGCATCACCATGTCGACATCATCTCCGACAGCGCCCAGCCCTATCCGTCGTTCGTCGATCTGGTCCAGTTCGTCTCCAAGCAGGTTGCCAAGCGCATGGAGGGCGTGAACGACAAAAACGCCCTGCCGTTCCCGGCCGCGAGCTACGAGGAGGCGCTCAGTTTCCTCCTCAAGTGCCTGCGCAACAACATCCAACGGAGCGGCCGCACGTGGCCCGAGTACCTGGCCGACCTCAGCAGCGCAGGTGATTGCCTCACGCTCTACCGGTACGTACCTGTGCGTGTGTGCGTGTGCGTGTGTGTGCGTGCGTGGTCGTGTGCTGCGGTGCCTCACACTTGCGATGCAGAGATCTGCTGGAGCTGGGCTTGGGTACGCGCGGTGGGCCAACCCTGCACCACGTCGCCGCCAAGTCGCTCTACGTCACGCTCTACCACATGAGCGACCAGCAGCTGGCCGAGTACTACACGGCCAAGATCGGCCTGTTCCTGGGCAACAGCAACCTGCTCTACACCGGCGCCCACGAGTCGCGCGAGATCATCGCCCGCATTATCGGCTTCTCCGCTCCGCATCTGCCGGCCGAGCGAGTCCTCGCCATCATGCAGACCTACCTGCCACAGCTCGACGCCAACGAGATCAACGTCGATAAGGTCGAAGCGGCCATCAACACCCTCGCGTACGTTCTTTGCATTCCTGCCCGTGCAGGCGTGATCTCTTGAGGCCTAACCTGGTTTATTTTTTGTGGTCTCTCAGCTTTTTGATCTGCCGAAGCCTCCAGTCCGGCTCCATGCCTCCGCAGTGCAAGCAGCCCTTCGAGGCCGCCGTCGGCAAGCTGGTCGACGTGCTCGCCCACCGCTCCACCCAGATCAAGGTTCGATTCCCAGTCCGCTCGCTCGGGCAATGATTGCAACGGTGCGCTGACCACTCGTATGCGCGCCGTGGCCCCAAAAAACAGGTCTACGCCGTGCGCGCTCTCGGTATCATCGGCCGGTACTCGCCGCTGCCTCTGCCGGAGGGACCCGCCGAAGGCCAGAGCGCCACCGGTGAAGGTGACGCCACTGCGCCCAAGGTGCTCACCAAGGGCGACCTCGTGAAGAAGCTCACCACCTTGCTGGGCTCGACCACGGAGGCCAAGCTCATCGAAAAGCTTGCTCTCGCCCTCGGCTACATGTGCGTCGGCGAGCCGGGCATTGCCCACAAGGTACCCATCAGTCCCCCCTTGCCGGGGCTCACTCGACTCACGACTCACGACCGCCCCAAATCCCTCCGCACACAGACGGACATTCTCAATGCGCTGTACGGCCTGGACAAGACCAAGAGCGAGGAGATCCACTTCAGCGTGGGCGAGGCCCTGTCGTGCGTCGCGTCGGGTGCAGCGTCGGCCGCTGCCAAGGATCCCCTGCACCCGGAGATCGACGACCCGCTGGACGATGACGACGACCACCACGACGTCAGCAAGAAGCGTGCGGCCGAGAAGAAGGCCCAGCAGCAGCAGCAGCAGAACGAGGCAGAAGGCGACGACAAGGGCAAGCAGAAGCCGGACGTGCCGGCGCCGGTGGAGGTGCCGTACCCGGAGGTCATGGCCGGCATGCTGGCCAAGCTCTTCTCGTTGGTGCAATCGGGGGCCAACCTGAGCCGCAACGCGGCCGCGATCTGGCTGCTGTCGCTCCTGCAGCACTCCTCCACGCACCCCGAGCTCCGCTCCAAGCTGGCCCTCATCCAGGCCTACTTCTCACGCCTGCTTGCCGGTAATCCCCCCACCCTCCGTCTCTACGCAGTGCTCTGTGGAATGCATGTTATGCGCTCAGAAGCCACATTCGTGTTCGCCTTGATGATGACGACGATGATGGTGATGCACAACTCACTAAGCAATCAACAACGACAGACAACAACGAAGTGACGCAGGAGGTGGCCTCCAAGGGCTTGGTCATGGTCTACGAGCTGGGCGACGCCGGGATGAAGCGGGAGCTGGTAGACAACCTCGTGGCTACCCTCGCCACCGGCAAGGCCAAGCAGGCCGCCGAAGTCCAGCGCAAGGACGAAACGTACCGCACCACTCATGTGTGGCGTGTGGCGTGTGGCGTGTGCGTGTGTGTGTGTGGCGAGTGTGTGTGTGTGTAACATGTAAATTTTTGTGCGCAGGGAGGTGATCCCCGAGGGCGCGTTGGGCGCAGTTCCCAAGGCGATGGGCACCGGCGGCCTGTCGACCTACAAGGAGCTCTGCTCGGTCGCCAACGAACTGGGCCAGCCCGACCTGATCTACCGCTTCCTGAACCTGGCGAGCCACCACAGCCTGTGGAACTCGCGCAAGGGCGCGGCCTTTGCTGCGACGGCCCTGGCGTCGCGCGAGGGCATGGAGTACCTCAAGCCGTTCCTCCCGACGCTCGTGCCCCTCCTCTACCGCTCGTCCTACGATCCCAACCCGCGCGTGGCCCAGTCGATGAGGAATATTCTGAATTCCATCACCGACGCGCGCAAAGCGGCGGACGAGTTCTTCGAGCCCATCATGAAGGAGCTGCTCAAGGGCCTGGTGTCCAACGTGTGGCGTACGCGCGAGTCCTCATGCTACGCCATCTCCGACGCACTCCAGAGCAAGATCTACAGTACGCCCATCACCATACAGCACCGCACACACCGCACACACGCACACACGCACATACAATCGCACGCACCCGATTGTGGCTCATGTGTCGGCTTGCAGGTCACGTGGAGCCGTTCTTGAAGGAACTGTGGTTCTGCTGTTTCCGGGTGATCGACGACATCAAGGAGTCGGTGCGCAAGGCGGCCATGTCCATGTTCCGCACCCTCTCCTCGCTCTCGGTGCGGCTGTGCGATCCGGTCTACACCAACCCCGACCAGGGCAAGGAGGCGATCGCGATCATCATGCCCTTCCTCCTCACCGACGGCCTGCACAGCCCTGTCAAGGAAGTCCTCGGCCTGACCATCGACCAGATCCAAAAGATCTGCAAAGGTTTGTGTGTCGTGTGTGTCGTGTCGTGTGTCGTGTGTCGTGTCGTGTCAGTGTATGCGGTGCGTTTGCATAGTGGCATCGTTAGTGGCGTACTGAACACCTGGCGGCGTACAGTTGCGGGGCCGTTGCTGAAGCCTCACGTGCCGGAGATCGTGCACGTTCTCGTCGATTCGCTCACGCAGCTGGAGCCGCAGGATTTCAACTACCTGGCGCTCCACGCCGACAAGGACTCGCAGCGAGTTCTCGAGGTGAAGTTTTTTGAATTTAATTTATTTCTCGCTGCGCACACGCTGCTCGCAACAAGCTGCATTGCATGAATATCTCATTATAACGTTCTCCACAAATCGTGCAGCAAGCGCGCGTGAGCCTGAGCCGACTTTCACCACTCAACGACACGGTACGATGTTCGCGCGGCTACGGCCACTCGCTTTTCGTTCGCTCCTAACGAATGTATGTCGCGTGTGTCGTGGGTGTGTGTCGTGTGTCGTGTGTGTCGTGTTTGTGTCATCAGCTGGACCTGTGCGTGAAGTACGTCGACGAATCCAACATCGGTCCGTTGGCCAAGGCCCTGCAGGAGCTGTTCGCGCGCGGCGTCGGTCTGCCCACCAAGTGCGGCACCGCACACATGATATCCTCCCTCACCATGGTGGTACGCATTGGGACCCAATCCTCTGCACAAATTCTGCTGTGAGTGGTGTCGCGCGTGCGGTTGTGCGTGTGCGGTGGCGCGTGTGCGGCTAATGGTGTCGGGTGCGTGTGCGGTTTGCAGTGTCCGCATGTGGTGAAGGGCGAGGCGCCCGCGCTGCTCAAGGCGCTGCGTGCTGCGCTCAAGGACAAATCGCCCATCGTGCGGTCGACCTACGCCACCGCGGCCGCCGGTCTGGCCCCGTTGACCACCCACGCCTCGCTCAAGCACTACGTCCTCCACCTCAAGGTACGCTCGCCACCCGCCACCACCACCACCACCACCACCACCACCACGCGCTGCTCACTGGTGGTGGTGATCTGCAGAAACTGTACACGGAGGGCGACGAGGTGGCGCATGTCACCAGCGCGCAGTGCCTGCAGGCGCTGGCACGCAAGGACGCCATCAAAGAGCACTTCAAGGTCGTCATCCCGCTGGTCCTGCTGGGCAAGTACGTGAACTCCCTCGCCTTGCATTCTTCGGACACGACACGACCAACGACACGACACGACACGACACGACACGACACGACACGACACGACACGACACGACACGACACGACACGACACGACACGCCACGCCACACGACACGACACGACACACACTAAGTCGTGATGGGGCGCAGGAATGACGAGTCGGAGGAGACGCGTAAGCTGTTCAAGGGCGTGTGGGAGGAGATCGGCACCAACAGCGTGGTGCAGCTCTACCTGAAGGAGGTGCTGGAAGCCCTCACCGAGTCGATCGGCGCGGCTTCGTGGGCGCTCAAGAAGCAGGGCGCGCTCACGCTGGCCGAGGTGGTTGAGAGCCAGTCCAACGTCAACGCCATCACGCCCTACCTGGAGAGCCTCTTCGCGCTGCTACTCACCGGCCTCAAGGGCAGGACCTGGAACGGTACACACGACACCGACACACGACACACACACACACACACACGCACGACACACACACACGACACACGCATTTTTTTTTCTTCAATAACTCAATGTTTCGGTAGGCAAGAGTGGGCTACTGGTCGCGCTGGCCTCGGTCTGCCGCGTGTGCAAGGACCTGCTGCTGGGCCAGGCGGCGGCGGGGTCGGCGTCCGGCGGGCCGAAGCTGCCGGCGCCCGCGCAGCTGCTGGCCACGGTGATCGCCGAGTGCAAGAAGCGCGACAAGGAGTACAAGCTGCAGGCCATCGTCACCCTCTCCGCCCTCCTCACCCTCTTCCCCGACATCGACGTCTACAGCCAGGTACGTTCACCTGCAACCACTCGCTTCCCCCCCCATTGGTGCTGATCTGTGTGCGGTGCGTGTCGTGCGCGTGTGCGGCGCTGTGTCGTGTGTGCGGCGTGTGTGTCATCAGGTGAAAGAGGAGATTCAAGATATTGCGGCGGGGGAGATCGAGGAGGACGAGGACGAGGAGGCCAGCAAGGGCAAGGAGCGCGAGGAGGAGTCGTCGGGAGAGGGCGGCGGCGGCGAGGAGTCGCGCAAGCGGAAGGCCATCCGCGAGAAGCTCCGCGTCGCGGCGGTCACCGCCCTGGGCAACGCCTTCCCGTCGGCCTCGGCGCCCGCCGCCCAGCGCGCCCACCTCGAGGCCCACGCCCGCTTCCTCGTCGCCCACGCCCGCACCTCCGTCGCCGTGTTCCAGGTGCCCCTCCTCCACGCCCTCACCCGCTGCGTCCGCGTGCTCGCCGCCCCCGCCAAGCCCGCAGCCGCCGCCACCACCACCGGCGACGACGACGCGGCGTCGGCGATGGACGTCGAGGGCGAGGAGAGCACGGGCGTGACCCTGAGCCCAGGCCTGGTGCGCGACATTCTGGACCTGTGCTGGCTCATCACCGGCGACACCAAGTTCCCATCGGTGCGGCAAGCCGCGCTCGAGCTGGTGCGCGAGGTGGTCACCAAGTGCAAACACAGTACGCCCTTTCGCTCCACGCCCGCGCGTGTCGTGTGTCGTGTGTTGTGCGTTCCTGACGTGTGCGGTGCGGTGCGGTGACAGATACGGAGCTGTTGGACGAGGAGCTGGTGGCCCAGATCAAGGCCGAGCTGGAACGCGCGCGAGCGGACACGTCGCAGCTGATCCTCATCCAGACCATCGTCACCCTCCTCCACGAACACTCGACCGCCGCCCCGCCCTCCAAGCGCACTCGCCTCTCGCCCGACGCCTCCTAAGCCGTCCCTCTCTCGGCTGTGTACAATTTCGGCGCGCCCAACACAACACGACACGCATGACACGACACGACACGACACACAATACGAGGCCGCGTGCGGAAGGGGAAGAAGGACGTGTGCGTGTGTGTTGTATTGGCGTGTGTGCGTGTGCGGGGAAAGAGCTGCTTCTCAGGCCTTCCTCATGAGCAGATAGATCCGGTGGTCCACGGTGATCTTCTCCAGCTGTGCGGCGTCGCCCTTGAGCATCATCAGCAGCCCTCCGAACGACACGAACGTCGACCTGGTCCATTTCACCACGCGTAGCGCTCGTGCGGTTGGTCGCACGACACACACGGCACACACCGCACACGCGCGACGGAGAGCGTACACTTTGGAGCCCTTGTCTTCGAGGCACTTGAAGACCTTGCCGTACATGACGTACTCGTACTCGTCGGCCAGCGATGCTCGGCCGCTCTGGTCGAAGATGCCGTCGTCCATCTCGTTGTCGGTGAGGCTCTTGGCCAGCGCCACGGTGAGCTTGTCGCCCAGCTCGACCGGGTAGATGTCTGTGTTGACGTCCAGCAGGAGCTGCATGTCGTAGCTCACGCTGCTGCACTCGAGCCTCGACACTAAAAGGGGGATGGGCGATGAGAATAAAGAGGCAAAAATAAAATAAAGAGTGAAGATTAAACGAATGAGTAATTGAAATAAAATATAATAATTAAAAAATCACACCGAAAAAGCAGCGATTTATGCACTCTTTAATCGATCCCAGCCGATCGTGGCAGAAGAAAACGAAAATCATGATTCTTAAGAATGCGGGGGGGAGTGGATGGTGTACCCTTGTCGAAAATCTTGCCCTCCGGATCGATGTTCTTCACCTCAAACGTATCTTCGAAGAAAGACGCCATTGTGTTTGCAAAGGCAGATGCTATCCCTTCGACGAATCACTCACGCAGTCGTGGCCTCCGCTCCTTCTTCCGATCAAGAAAAAAAGGACGAAACAAATCTTTCAATTCAGATTTATTTAGTGATCTGCAAAAAGAAAAGCCGAGAAACGCGGCTGATTATATCTTCAGATTGTAAGCATGCTGCGGAGGTCGATTGCGCCCGTCACCGGTGCTGGCATCCAGCCCGCCACTTCATCCTCTTGCCTGGGTACGCCTATGTGCATTGTACCACATTTCATGCCGGGGCGGCATCAATTTAATCACCCGCCCCCCACAATGTTGTTTCCAATTATGCAGTGGCGCGAACGGCATCGGCCTTCGTGTCCAGCGGATCCAGCCAAGGTCAGCCCATCCTTTTCAAGCGGAACATTCAAAGTGCGCCTCTTCCATTCACCACAATCGATTTATTTTTATTTTTTTATTTACTTTCTTTTAACGATTGGATGATGATTAGAGTACTGGAGCAAGGAGGCGCGGCAGTTCAAGGGCAAGCGACCAGTCAAGGTCATGTCCATCAAGCGCGCCGCTCGCCTGGCAGCCCGCCGTGCTGCCGAGGAGGCCGAGGCTGCCCATCTCGACTCGAAGTACGGCACCCGCTGCACGTCCGCCTTCCTCGCCGAACGCGTCCGCTGGAACGAAGACTACGGTGCGGCCTCCCCACCAGTTCTTCTTTTACTTCTTCTTCTTCTGCTTCTTCTGCGCGTACTCACACCAGAGGTGGTTGATGACGCTGCAGAGGGTCCTGTGATCTCCACCCCGACCGAGGAGCCCAAGAAGACGAAGAGGGAAGTGCCCATCGCCACCGGTGCCCAGGAGGAGAAGCCCTCCTTCTTTGCTCGCCTCTTCGGACGGTCCTAGTCTGTCTTCTCTCCACCGTCGACTGCGAACCAGAAGAACAAGAAAAAGAAAAAGTTGCTCTACATCTTCTTCTTCTTCCTACATCATCTTCTTCTTTCTTCTTCTTCATCATCTTCTTCATGTTAGGCCTCCAGGCAGTTCGAGTAGCGGCGTCCGTGGAGGGTGCCGCCAGAGAGGGCGACCCTCACGTGCTGCGCGAAGAGGTCCGGCGCGTCGAGCATCTCACGCGCGGCGAGGTCGTTGAGCGGCGACTCGGCGTTGGGGTGGAGCATGAGGAAGAGCATGCCCTGGCACATCTGCTCGATGTGGATGGCCGGCGAGAAGTCCTCGCGCAGGATGTTCAAGCAGACGCTGCCCTCTTCGTTGATGTTGGGGTGGTAGACGGGTGTGAGGCACTTGACGTTGGACCGGCCGAAGGGGTAGTCGGGCGCCACGTCAACGCGGAAGACGAAGCGGCCGCCGGCCCAGAGGCCGCTACGCGGTCGCACCACCAGGTGAAGGCAGAACAGGTTGTTGTTCAAGGAAGACGAAGAAGGTGAAGGTGAAGGTGAAGGTGAAGAAGATGGAGACGAGTGGGAGTTAGGGTCTTCGGCGAAAGTGAGGGTCAGCTGACCCTCACTGACGGCCGGCAGGGATTCGATGAGGGTCGGCACCTCACGCATCAAGAGCCTCGCCGCCGCCGAGCCTCCGCCAGAGCCCGCTGAGGAGGACGCCTGCTTCGCTCGCTGTCGCAACAGGTTCATGTCGATGTCGTGTCTTTGCGTTGATGTGGTCTGGTGTATGATAATTCTCATCGCCAGGCCCACACGCAGCTGCCGGCACTGCGCGATTTGTGCGCTTTTCACACAACGCTGCTATGGCCGTCAATTGCGAGAAAGGTGATGATCACCAATTAAAATGATCACCTCCACGTGATTGGGGTACAAGGTAGAGACTGCCTGGCTAGAGGTCGAGCTTGCCCCGGGGCTTGGCGGGCGGCTCATCGGTGGCGGTGGCGTTGGCTTTCCGTCGCGTCACCACCCCACGCTGCGGGGTGCCTTGCGCCTTCTTCTTCTTGTACACTTCTTTGTAGTTCTTTCTGCGCTCGGCCACCATCACACCAACGACCAGGAGAGCGAAAGTCAGCACATGACGACGACGACGATGTAAAGTTACGACGTAAAGTTAAAGCTCGACCGAGAGGAAGAGGTGGTGGGGTGGCGTACGTGATGCTCTTCGTCGGCGAGAACGGATCCACCAGCTTGCCGCGGTCCTTCGTCTCACGGAAAAGCGAGGCGCCCTGTGATTGTCGAAAGGGTGATAGTGAGCACCAAAACAGTGTGTGGGTTGCAATGGAACCACGGCCAGCGCTGGGCGACGCAGGGTGGGTGGGTGGGCGTACGCTGGCTTTGGCGGTGACGGGTCCCGTGGTGCTTCGGGTGGCTCGGCCGCTCCGTCGCACGGGAGACTCGGCCGGCGGACTCGCCTTCTTGGTGGCGGCGCTGGTGGTGTTCTTACGTGTCGCGGTCCGCTTGGCCGCCGCCTTCTTCTTTGGCGCCACGTACTCGTTCGTCGTTGTCGTCGTCATCGTCGTCGTCGTCACCCTCCTCAGCGGTGACACCTTCAATGTCCACGCTCTCCTCCTCGCTGGCCTCGTCGTTGTAGTCCTCATCGTCGCCGCCATCATCGTCGCTGGCCTTGCGACTCTTTGTTTTCGTTGTTGTCGTCTTCTTGGTCGTTCGCCTCGCCACTCTCTTGGTGGAATTAACCTTCTTTGTCGTCTTGCGCTTGACCACTTCATCGTCATTATCGTTGAACGCAAAGTCGCCGTCATCGTTTACCTCTTCCTCCTTGGCCTTGCTCGCTTCCTCCTCTTCGTCATCGTCATCTTCTTCCTTGACTGGCTTTCTCCTGGTGTACTTCTTGGATGGCGGCACCTTCGCCTTTGCCTTCGTAGCAGACGCGCTCCGACCCTTGCTCGACGGCTTCGCTTCCACCGCGTAGTCTTCGTTATCATCTTCATCTTCGTCTTCTTTGACTTCGGCGGTCTTCGACGCCGTACGCTTGACGCCCTTGACGGCCGCCACCGTCCGTCGTCCCTTCTGCTTCTTTTCCTTTTCCTTTTCGCCCCTGTCGCGCTTTTCCTCGTACACCTCTTCTTCATCGTGGTCCACCTCCTCTTCCTCTTCCATCACGATCGTCTTCTTCCTGGTCGTCGTCTTCGTTTTCGTCGCCTTCTCCGTTTCGCGTTCGTTCTTGCCCGAGGCGGGGGCGTCGCCGGCGATCTTGGATGACGCCGGCGGGAGGAGGTCCTCGCTTTTGACCGTGCGTCGGGCCACCCGCCTGGCCTTGCGCGGCTGCTTGGGCACGAACGAGCCGAGCGGCAGATAGAGCTCGACCGCGCCCGTGAGCGCGTTCTCGACCATCAAAGGCTGCATCGTGTCACAAGCGTTAGTGCTCGGTACGAGCAGTCGCACTGCGCGGCGGTCGGTAAGCACCACAATGGCGGCGAGATCGGGTCCCGGCACCCAGTCGTAGTTGTTGCGCTGCGGGCCGCTCGAGGTGGCGTAGGCCTTGCCGTCGCACCACTGCTCGAACGACCTGTCGTAGAACTCCTGCGCGCGCCGTTTGAGAACGATCAACACCGAGACTCACTTTCTCGAGATGCGTTGCAAGCAGGGAGAGTAGTACCTCGCCAAACACGGACTTGATCCGTTCGGCCAGGTAGTTCATGGGCTCCTCTTCAACCGCCGGACCAACCCTGCTGACCGGCTTGTCCCTGATCTGCTCGACGGCGGCCTCGAGGCTGGCGGACATCGAGACGTTCTTTTTGGTGTGCTCGGCCACTGGGAGAATGTGATGGTTGGTTGCGGAGGGAGGCGAGTTCACCACACGCGCATCAACAATGTAAAGGCACGAAGGCAGGGATTACCGAAACGGAAGCGACGGTTGAAGACCTCGATGACGTCCTCGGGCTGCAGCTGCTGCGGATTGGGTCCGAGCTCCTTCCCGTTGACGCGGGTGAGGCTCGGCTCGCCGTTTGCTGGGCCGGCGTCGCACACCCACAGCTGCGCACGCAGAGAGCGACACAGCCCGCCGCGGGACGGAGAGATGAGCCGCGGACCTCGACCGCAGTAGCTCACAAGCGCGGGCGGCGGTGCGCGCGTGCGTGCAGTGGTGCGCTCAGCGTACCTCGCTGTGGTCTACGTAGACTTTTGTCTGAACCGCGGCGATGTGGGGAGTCTCCAGCACGATATCACACTTGGGGTCTCTGTTCGAGGGGTGATTTGAAGATCAATGTTATGAATTTGAATCGGAAATGTTTGCCGCGCAGCAGCGTACTTCAAATTTGAGATTCGAGAGGCGAGAGAGGTTACCTGCCGAAGGTGATGAGGTTGTAGGCATCTGAGAGGGGCTCGGTGATGAAGGAATTATTGGGATGCAGGTACTCGAGACGACCGTACGTGGCCATTGTCGCCTCACCACTCATTGTGTCTTCTTCAAACAGGAACCTCCTCCCTAGAGAATTCGAATTCACCTCGATTGACGTTGGCTCCGTGTGTTTACTTTCAACGTTCGCCTGCCAACCCGAACGTTCATTTTGGCGGGAAACTGTTCCGTCGGCAGAAACTGGCCCAACAGCTGGCCAAGCTTGCAAGTGGCAGCGACGGGGGAAGCAAGGGGCAGTGGTTCTCGATCCCTTTGGGTGCATTACTCAAGCCCCACCACAACCAGCAGGTAGGTTGTCTTGGCACAATAGCCTGATGGTTCTCACGATGAGTTACAATTGCCAAGCTCTACAGCGTGGTCCAGCCCCACCCAAGACATTGACCGCTGGTCGTCCCCTTTTTCGGTCTGGGCGTGTGGTTCTCCGGTAACCATCAGTGTGGTGCAACACCCCGGTTGGGTGAAATCAATATTAAAATTGTGATACTGTCGTAGGGGAAATAATAAAAGAAAAAGCAAACGAAACGCGAAGAGCAACGCCAGGGATGAAAGATGATCGAAGGGGAGTGGGCAACCTCGCCCTGATGCTTGCGGCAAGTCTGACCCTTGTTCTTGTTGCCGTTGTTCTCCCATGCCAAGCCCAGAAGCTGAGTACGTCCCTTCACTTCCTAAATCTAAGCTCCCGCCCCCTAGATTGAGATAAATCCTAAAGAACCCCACCCAACTCACCACCGCGGCCTGAAGATGGCTACAACATCGATGCGAACGACCTCAGCGTGGTGGGCATCTCGTCTGGCGGAGCCATGGTACCATCGCCACCTCTCCCCTGTTATGGTGCCCTGCAACTCACGCACCCGCGCACAGGCGGTACAAATGCACGTGGCCTTCTCGCGTACGGTCAAGGGCGCTGGCATCATCGCCGGAGTGCCCTACTGGTGTACGTGGATCGAGCTCTCCATCCACTCTATGTAGCTATGCCCTTTCTTGCTTGCGATCTCTAAGCGTTGGTCGCATGCGGTGCCACTATAGGCGCGCAAGGTGATATGGATATTGCGCTTACCTCTTGCATGGCCACGCCCGAGTTGATCGACCTCAGCGTGCTATGGTTTAGCTCCGAACCCTCTGCTGACTGTCACTTTCGCTCATTCTTACTGATTGCCTTACTGATTACTCTCGTGCGTGCGCGACGATTATCAATCCAAGGGATGGCACGACGTATGCGTACGACATGGGATCCATCGACAACCCTAAGTACCTGCAGAACTCGCGTGTGTGGCTCTTCTCGGGCCAAAAGGACACTGTTGTCGACACTGGTGCGCATACATGCCGTCCCCGTGTGGCTCGTTCGTTTTGCTGGTGTAAACCAACTTACATTGGCCCATCCCTAGGTGTGGTCAAAAAGGCCAAGATGTACTACGAGTACTACATCACCAACGCCTCGAGCGTGGCCATGGTGACAAACATTTCGTCCGAACACGCCTGGATCACGAACAAGTACGGGCCGTTAGATTGTAAGATATTCGGCTTACACTGCCTTATCTCACGCACACTTCACATGCTGACAGCTACGGGAACGCGTGCGACTACCTGGGTGACCCCTACATCAACAATTGCAACTTCGATGCGAGTGGCGCCATGCTTCGCCACTTCTATCCTCAATCGCTCGTTAATCCTCGCGCTGCCGCCCTCGCCACCAATGTACGCCCTACCAGCAACTTTTTGTCACTCTGTGCACTGCGTGTTCGTTTGTGAGACCACTCACGCCGCGGACGGACTGACGGTGTACCACAGATCTTCGCGTTCAGCCAGCAGTACTACACCCCGGCGCCGCCTGCCTCGATCTCTATGGGCCAAACGGGCTACGTCTACGTGGCGACCGCCTGTCAGCAAGGCGCTCGTATGCTTTGCCACCACTCACGAACCATCCCAATTGCTTCAACAACTAACCCATTCGAACCCACACTCCATTTCGCAGTATGTAAGCTGGTCGTGGCGTTCCACGGTTGCGAAATGAGTATCCCCGACATCAAGAACGCCTACTACGTCCACTCGGGCCTCAACGAGTGGGCCGAAGCCAACAACGTACCGTTCTCTTACGTGGCGACCATAATGCTTTTTTTTACTCATGATCGGGTTCTGTGTGTGACTGTGGTGCACAGATGGTCGTGCTCTACCCGCAAGCGATCAAGTCATCGGACTTGCCCTACAATCCAAAGGGCTGCTGGGACTGGTGCGTCCAAACACGCACACCACGCCACACGACACGCCACACGACGCCACACGACACGGCACGACACGACACAGCGGGTTCACCCTTTGGTGCAGGTGGGGCTACACGGGAGAGGACTACGCCACGCAGGCCGGCCTGCAGATGGCGACCATCAAAAACATGATCAACGCTCTAGCACGCACCCAGTAGAGCGATGCGAGCGCTCGGCGGATATTTATTCTTCTCCTTCTTCGCGGTATGAAGGAGGACGATGGAGAGGTGGCCAGAGACACGGATAACCATCAACGCGACTTGCTGCCTCCCTCGACCTGTACCATGTTCTCCCCTCCCTTCTTTTAATTAATTTAGAAAAGGCGAACGACGAGGCCAGATATTGGGGGATCGTCGGTGGTTTTGTCCGTGGGGCTGTGTGAAGATGATGATGTCGAGTGCATGGCGTGGCCTTGTGGCCTTCCTGCTTGTCACACTACTAGTGTCTTGTGCCGAGGCTCAAAAACTGCGTGCGTTGCGCCTACGTGACTTTTTTCTTTATCGATGGATCGACTTACAATCTGAGCTCTGCAGAGGGGTACAACATTGATCCAAATGGCATTAGTGTGGTGGGCATCTCGGCCGGCGGTGCCATGGTACCCTTCTCTCCCGCCAGAAGCTGTGCCATCCATGAATCGGTGTTGAGTAGTATTATTGGGGGGGGGGTCATACAGGCCGTGCAGATGCACGTGGCGTTCTCGAGCAGCATCAGGGGTGCCGGCGTCATTGCTGGCGTACCTTACTGGTGTACGTCCTCTTACTCGCTCTTGCGCTCCCCATCTTGAGAAGCAGCAACCTCAAGTATTCACCTGGCGATGCGGTTTGCGTGCGGGGGGGGGGGCAACAGGCGCAATGGACAACGTTCTGCTGGCGACGACCTCTTGCATGAGCGTTCCCGATCTGATCGACCTCAACTTGCTCTGGTTCGTATCCGCTTCCTCCACACGCGAGCACCGACTGTTCCGGAAGCTTCACCCACTCATTCAACTTCACAGGGCGGGCACGACGTACGCCTATGGTGTAGGGTCCATCGACGACCCGCGCAACTTGCAGAACTCGCGTGTGTGGCTCTTCTCGGGCAAGAAGGACACTGTCGTAGAGACTGGTACGCACTGCTGCCTCAAGCACCAAGGCTCGCGGTTAATAGTTGGTGGTGATACAAACAGGTGTGGTCAAGAAGGCCAAGATGTTCTACGAGTACTACATCACCGAGGAGTCGCAGGTGACGATGGTGACGAACGTGTCGGCTGAACACTCCTGGGTCTCAGACAGGTTAGTACTTACCTGGTCTGTGTATTTCTCTTTTTTCTACACTGACGTCGCTGACCGCCCTCGCAGCTATGGCAGTGCGTGTGGGTTCCTGGGCGAGCCCTACATCAACAACTGCAACTTTGACGCGAGTGGCGCCATGCTACGCCACATCTACGCCCCGACCCCGCTCAACCCGCGCGCAGCCTCCGTCAACCGGGCCAACGTGCGCCTTGCTTTCACTTGCTCGAGATTGGCTCAGCGCTCAGCGCAGCTAACGCTGGTGTTGACGACCACACAGATCTTTGCCTTCAGCCAGAGGGAGTACACGTCCCTGCTATCTCCCGCTTCGCTTTCCATGGGCAACACGGGCTACGTCTACGTCCCGACTGCTTGCCAAAAGGGCGCATGTACGTTTGTGCACAGTGGAGTCCTCGCCTGCCTCAGAACAATGATGTTGTAAGACGCTCACCGCTCGAGTGGTCTCCCGTCCAGTGTGCAAACTCGTCGTGGCATTCCACGGCTGCGAAATGGACATCCCCACGATCAAGGACGCCTACTACGTCCACTCAGGTCTCAACCAATGGGCCGAGACCAACAACGTACCATTCCACCGTGCCTGGCGGATTCACGTCCTCTTGCCATTCTGATACCATCATCGCACTCCTACAGATGATCGTGCTCTACCCGCAAGCGATCGTGTCTTCGTTGATTCCCTACAACCCGAAGGCGTGCTGGGACTGGTGCGTGCGCGCCCCTCCGCGCTCCATTGCTCCTCTGTTCGTGTGGGCCTCACAGCCCTTCGATCAGGTGGGGCTACACCGGCACCGCGTACGCCTCGCAAGCCGGGCTCCAAGTGGCCGCCATCAAGCGAATGATCAACTCCCTGACGCGGCAGTAGAGTGCACCCACTCTCACCCCCGACGCTGGGTTTTTCCGTTCCATCTGCGGCTGATGTTGTACGCAGTTCGAACTGTATTCTACTTCCCTTCTTGTAGCGAAGTAGGGCAATACTGGGCTTCCTACTTTTAACTTTCGCGGAAAGGGCGCCAGCAGCGAAAATAATTTTCGATTATTTTATTTTTCTAAGCTGGCCGCTGTGGTGTGCACATCACATCCAAACAATCTAAAACCTCATCTGTGTAGACCTGTCCTCGAGGAGAGAATAGAACGCACTCGAGGAAGAGAGGCAGAGGTCGGCGAGAGATAGAGAAAGGAAGATTCATCGCTTGAGTGCGTTGCGTGATAGAGAGCGCATTCAGATAAGAACGAAGGAAATATGAATACATCAAAGGCGCAAGAGGGCGCGCCCAAGCTCGATGACGTGAAGAAGGAGTGCCGGCTCCTCGAGACAGCCCTCAAGAATGGTACAGCCGTCAATCGCACGCCATAAAATTGGGTCAGCTGAGCTTCTTGGTCAAGAATTTCTCACCTGATGCCGATCTTATGGCGGTGAATTCGGCAGAGGCCAACCCCACCGAGCAGTTGGAGCGGATCGAGGCCATAATGCGCGCCATTGTGAACAGCGAGTTCGGCCCGGTTGAGAATGTGGAATACTTTCTGCGCACCATGCTACCCAAATTCATCCTTCTTCTGCTCAAGCGCGGGTACGTGCACGATCCCACCCGCACGGCTGACCTTGCCGGCTGGCGTTCAGATCACGTAATCTGCAAGCCGCGCGGCAACCCCCCCCGCCCCGTTGATGCGTTTTGCCGCCATTTATTTCAGAAGTCAGATTTCTTTGGATTTAATGAAATGTAATGCACCTGCAGGGATCTGGCCGAGGGTGTGGCGCCGAGAGTCAACCGCTTCTTCCAGACCGTTGTCATCGAGTTTACGCTCAAGTGTGTGGAGGCGGACACCTACGTCCAGGAGCTGCTGCAGACCCTCTGTCGCCTGTTCACCGTCACACAGAAGCCGTTCTACTCGCGATACGGCTCCAAGGGTGGCGAAGTACATGATCCTTCTCTCCTCTCACGCGGCTGCACCAAACCAGCGCAATCAACTTGCAAATCTCGAATCACCTCGATTTTGTAATGCGGCACGTGATGCTAAGTAACCGTCATGTACTACTTTTAAACAGGAAACGATGACAGACTCTGATGAGGACAGCGACGACTCAGACGAAGAGGAGACAGAGTCCTTTGTCAACAGGAAGGTAAAGGAAGGCCACGTGTTCATCCTGTGGTGTGCCCTCGCTCGCGCCTCACTCTTGCTTGCTCGTTTGCTTCACACAGAGCTTGAACTGGGAGCCCACGTTCTTCACCGCCAACATCACCTTCTTCGGCAAGAAGGACGGCTTCAACTTGTTCATCTCCAAGCTGGCTGACGAGAAGCGCAAACTCGACGCCAACGCGATCAAGTGGCTGCTCAAGCCCATCGTCAAGCTGCTTGAGTACCTGCCCCTGCGACTGGTGCGCAAGATTGTGGAGCAGCTGCGACACGTCGTGTTCTCTCGCTTGCTGGAGATGAGCGACGAGGGTGCGTTCATGAGACTCTTTAGCATCGTGGCGACCATCAACCTTTTCTGTTCTTTTCTCACAATTTCTTGCCTTGTCCACACGGCAGATCTCAAGGGCGTCAACCGGAAGGTGTTGGGCGACATCAGCGCCAGCATGGAATCCCTGCTGCGGTAAGTCATGTTTTGCCGTTTGCTCGTAGTTGACTGGATGACCTCAATGACTCACGCCCTTGTTCATCACTATCAAAATCTGCAGGGTTGTGGCGCCGAAGGAGACCACGCAGCTCGTGGACAAGTTCGAGCTGGCGATCGCCTACAAGATGTTCATGTCGCCCTACCTGGAGAAGAGGCTGATGGGCCTGAGCGACATCAAGAGATACGTCGACCTCGTCCTGAGGAAGGAGGACTACCAGCAGCGCATGAGGCAGACGGACCGCGCTTCGCAGGGCAACCTCCCTGCCGCCATCAACGTTTGGATTGATTCCAAGTACGTCGTCTACTACTTCTTTTTGACGCCCAACAACAACTACAACGCGTCGCGTTGTTGGGTTCCGACAACCGCTTCTGACTCGTTGGTGTGCTGTGTGCCGTGTGACTCTCCAGGCAAATGGTGGAGTGGTTGAACAACCAGAAGATAATGGAGCAAATTTATGTACATTCCATCCACCAGGAGCTGCTGAAGAGGGCCGTCGACATCGCCAAATTCTTCGCCATTCAAAACCAAATCCAGAATCATCACATCGACCTCATGTGGAGCGCAACCATCGTACGCGTCCCCCTTTCCCCCTCTGGTCCGCACAGGAATCTAATACTCATTTTCTTTTCTTTTCATTTCTCTTTCAACCTCACAATCTAGGGTAAGCACGAGTCCATCTGCCACATCATCTACAACAGCTTGGCCGAGCTGAGCACGGTCCTGCCGGCCGAAGCGGTGGAGTATCTGTTCCAAAAGATCAAGACCATCCCCTACGCCAGCTACGACACGCACACGTTCTCCCTCATCCAGGCCATCTCCGTGCGAGGGATCAATCTGTGTTTCAACCTGCCCGTATGTCTGCTCTCTCCATCATGTAGTGTCATGGGCTCACTGAGTCATCACATCACCAGCTGGGACTAACGCTACTGTTGTATGCGGCTGGGTTTGTTTGCTGTTTTGGTCGCGCAGGAGGGCGAGAAGAAGTGGTACGGCGTCGACATCTGGTGGGAGATCATCCAGGACGAGACCGACGTGCCGCCCGCCACGGCCACTGAGGCCTTCCGCTTCCTGGAGACCTTCCTCACCTGGGTCTACTGCCACGAGCTCCGGCCCAAGTACATCGGCCTCTGCATGCAGAACCTCAAGGAGGGCAAGTCCGTCCCGTTCTCGCTCAAGCTCCTCCAGAAGCTGCTCGGTACCCCACACACCACCCACCACCGCTTCATTCCTGGAATTCCACCACGGTTCGGCGCCTGTAGCTCTGACATGGCGGCGTTTCTTGTGCCAAAATGCAGATTCGTACCCGGCGAAGAAGGAGAAGGGCATGGAGGCGCAGGCGCAGATGATCGACCTGCTGGAGGTCAACAGCGGCCTGATGGCCACCTTCTTCGAGGACCTGCACCGCTTCAAGAGCAAGGCCAAGGAGGCGGCCAAGGCGCTCGCCGATGCCGGCCAGACCGGCGTGGACCTCAACCAGCAGGCGCTCGTCGGCAAGCAGGCCTACATCTTCCAGATCAAGGACCGCCTCGACTTCCTGGAGTACATCCTGTCGCACTCGCCGCTGGTCCTGCAGGCGCCGCAGATCGACGCCTTCTGGGCGTCGGTCATCGTCGATGCGCTCACCCTCGAGGAGCGCGACCACGGCTTCCTCTGGGTGCAGAACGTGAGGAACAGCCAGCAGTTCCAGGCCATCACCGAGGAGTCAACGCAGTACATCTTCGAGCAGAAGGTGCCGCTGATGGACTTCAGCGCGCTCACCCAGAAGGGGTTCCACTTCTTCGAGTACTTCTTCCGCTACGTCAACTGGTTCCTCAAGCGGTTCGACCAGGGCGACAACGGCGTGTTCCGTGTGCTCAACTTTGACCTCGTCGGCATCGACAACGCCTGGCGGGCCGCCGTTGAGCCCAAGGACGACAGCGTGGCGATGCAGGCCATCGAGTTCCTCAACAAGCTCCACAAAACGGTACCGCCTTGCCCCCGGTTCTCCCATTCGACAATCAATGATCTTTTTGTTTTGTTTCGTTTCGTTTTGCTGACGTGGCTTGGAATTCCATCGCAGACCTCGGCCGAGCTGCTGCCCAAGCTGGGCGAGTTGCGCGAGAGGCACGTGGCGACGTGCATGGGCTTCATCGCCGATGCGTTTGCCAAGGTACCTTGACTTTGACGCTGCCACCACACATGCGCCCGTGAGAGCTGATCAGTCGTACTGACCTAACTTCATCTTTTCCTTTATGTCCAGGCCACCGCCAGCCCCCAGGACGCAGCCTCGCAGCAGCGCATTGTGCGTTGTCTGAACGTGCTCAAGGCCTTCATCGAGGAGATTGAGGGCGTCGGCAGCAAGTACGCCCGCCTCGCTTGCCACATAATTTATATCCGCCTCCCCCCCCCATGTCCTAACGCTGCCACGTTGTATTTCCCCTGCCAGGCACGGTGGCCTGAAGGGCAAGCTCATCCGCATTCCCATCCAAATCATCTCCGGGCCCAAGTTCGAGTTGGAGATCTACAGCTCGGACACGGTGGCGACGCTGCGCCAGAAGGTGGCCGAGCACATCAAGAAGGACCCCTCGCTCCTGCGTATCATCACCGCGGGCAAGGAGCTTCACAACGACAATGACACCCTTCAGCAGGCCCGCATCAACGACGGCCACGCCGTCCACATCATCCACAGAGTCGTCAAGGTACTTTTATTATTATTATTATTTGATTGGCCTTTGAAATTAATGAACTAATCCATGTTGTGCAAATTTGTGCGCGCAGCCTGGCACCCCTGCTGCCGCGATTCAGAAGCCGAAGCAGGAGGAGGCCGACAAGCGCGCCCTGCCGAGCTCCATCCTCTCCAAGCAGCAGTACTTCGAGCAGATCTTCCAGCTGCTCGCGCTCGGCGGAAACAGCGCTCAGCTGGTGCGTTTTTCTTTATTTTGTATCATATTTTGTTATTATTATTATTTGGGTGTTGGTTATATTCATGCTTTTGCGTTGGCGGCGGCTAACCGGTTCGTTATGTTGGGTTGTGGTGGTGGAAAAAAACAGGCGTGGGACCTCCTGATGATGCTGCCCACCAACCAGAAGATGCTGACCGCGCTGGCGGACATCCGCACGGGTGACGCCCAGCTGAACTGGGAGGAGCTGCTCAACCGGTCCTCGACCTTCAACCTCCTCTACACGCTGCAGATCGTCCAGGCCCTCATGCAGCCCACCGAGGACTCGGCCGAGAAGAACGCCGAGCGGGCCGAGTGGTGCAACCAGTTCCTGGCCCGCGGCGGCGTCAACTACCTCGTCAACACGCTGCTCACCTGCGACTTCTTCGACGTCACTCGCGGCAGCAAGCGCAAGGTCTGCCTCTCGCTGCTCTTGAAGATCATCAACTCCTTCACCATCGGTACGTCGTCCTAGCCCAAACCCTATGCATACCATTCTATCGACTTATGACTCATAAACCGCCGGTGCTCTCCGTTTTCTGTCGTTTCTTACAGAGACCCACACGGTCAACGATGGCATGGAGACGGTCAGCAGGCTCCGTGGCGTCGTGCTGCTCAACTGCACCGACGGCAAGCAGCTGGTCGCCCGGCTCATGGAGCTCAGCATGCGCGCCGCCACCGACGTCGAGAAGCGGGACGAGGCCCTCATCAACCCGCTGGCGCCGCCTCCGGAAATTGTACGCGCCCTCCATCGCAGCTTTTTCTTCCGTTTTCGCGCGGCCTACGGTCGAATAGCGTAACTGACTGGGCTGGGGGTGATCAGGATGAGGTGGAGATCGTGGGCCAGATCATGTCGACGCTGCTGGCGTGCTGCCTGTCGTCGGTCGACCTGCTGCAGGCCTTCCTGGAGAACCCCGCCATGGACGCCTGGCTCGCCGCCATCTTGCTCGGCAGCCCGGAACCCAAGATCAGGGAGAAGACCATCTCCACCCTCTACAAACTGTCCACGATCGTGAACGAGGAGTACGTTTTCCGGGTCTTGCAACTCATCGCACACACGCACGCGCACACCACCGCACGCCTCGTAGTGCTCACGGCCTCTTCCTTTACCTGCGCAGGTTCTTGGCGGGCAGCGGTGTGCAGCTGGCGCCTCAGCCGTACTTCCTGGCGAAGCTGCTGGCCATGCTGCGCACCATCGAGCACACCCAGCCGCACTCGGCGCAGTACTTCGACCTGCTCAACCGTCTCCTGCAGATGTCGGCTCGCGTCAACCCGTCTCAGTTTGCCGAGCTGCTGGACCACCTCATCACCATGCTCAAGGACCACCCCACCGCCGAGGTACCTATGCAGCACTGCCCGACCGACCGACCGGTTGTACAGTTGTGGCCTAAGCCGTGCGTTTTTGTTTTCCCTCTGCTGCAGCTTCGCAACAGCGAGGCGGTGGACCACGTGCTCTACGGCGTCATGAGCCTCCTCAAGACTCTGGTCAGCGCCGACCTCGAGTTCAAGAACAAGGCCGGCTCCCAGCACAGGTCCGTTTCACTTCACCCAATGATGAATGATGACGACGATGCCTTGGTACAGGTTTTTTTCCTTCTTACACGGCGTGAACGTGGTTGTTGTAACAATCATTAGGGGCGGCCTGGTGCACGAGCTGTTCCACAAGTGTCTGTTCAACATCCCGACGATGGAGCGACACGGCCCCGACGCGCCGCCGCAGTGCAAGACGTCCAGCACGCGCAACTGCGCCTTCCGCCTGCTCACCGAGCTGGCCGACTCGACGCAGGAGAACTACGCCGCGCTGGCCGACCTGCTGGTGCAGCAGCACCGCGACGGCGAAAAGCGCAGCCTGTGGAAGTACCAGCCGTCGGCCTACGAGAAGGCCGCGTGCGGCTACGTGGGCCTCAAGAACCTGGGCGCCACCTGCTACATGAACTCGCTCATGCAGCAGTTCTTCATGATCCCGGGCTTCCGCTGGGGCATGCTCGAGGTGCAGGACTCCGAGGAGAAGAAGGAGGAGAGCCTCCTTTGGCAGCTCCAGACCATCTTCGGCTACCTCCAGGAGAGCGAGAAGAAGTACTACGACACCCGACCATTCTGCAGCTCCTACAAGGACTGGGAGGGCCAGGTACGCCTTGCTTGCTTATTTTTATTTATTTTTTAAATGATTATTCATTTTTACTTTTAATTATTATTGTTTTGTTTTTGTTTTATTATTTATTTGCTAACAATAAATTTTTTGTTCGTGACAGCCCATGAATGTGGGCCAGCAGCAGGACGCGGACGAGTTCATGAACATGCTCCTGGACCGGCTTGAGAGCATTCTGAAGAAGACGCAAGAGGTAAGCCCACAGAGCCGCTGTGCCAGTTGGCGAAGAAGCCACCATGTACTGACGCGTTGCTTGAAACGCTTTGTGGTGTGTGCGTGTGCGTGCGTGTTGCGGACAACGTTGTACAGGAGAAACTGCTCAGCCAGTTCTTCGGCGGTGCGCTGTCGAACCAGATCATCTCGAAGGACTGCACCCACGTCTCGGAGCGAGAGGAGAACTTCTTCACGCTCAGCCTGGACATCAAGAACAAGAAGAGCATCCTCGAGAGTCTGGCGCTCTACGTCGAGGGCGACATGCTCGAGGGCGACAACAAGTTCCACTGCTCCGAGTGTAACGCCAAGGTCGACGCGCTCAAGCGCTGCTGCGTCAAAAACCTGCCGGACAACCTCATCGTGCACCTCAAGCGCTTCGAGTTCGACCTGGAGACCATGAAGCGGATCAAGCTCAACGACTCGTGCCAGTTCCCCATGATCCTCGACATGGAGCCCTACACGAAGGAGGGCCTCGCCAAGAAGGAAGGCACCTCGCGTACGTCACATTCACTTCGCATCGGCGCATAGCTCAAATTCCAGATAACTTACATATCTGCGATGTGTGTCGTGTCGTGTGCGTGTGTCGTGTGTCGTGTCGACAGTGGAGGACCTCCCGCAGAGGGACGAGTCGTACTACAAGTACGAGCTGGCCGGCATTCTCGTGCACACGGGCACGGCGGACTACGGCCACTACTACTCGTTCATCCGCGAGCGCCTGCCCAAGGTGGCGGGCGAGGCCTGCAAGTGGTACCAGTTCAACGACACGCTGGTGGAGCCGTTCGACCCGGAGGAGATTCCCAAGACCTGCTTCGGCGGCGCCGACACCGTCACCGAGTGGGACGAAGTCGCCGGCAAGCACGTCCCCAAGTGGCGCGCCAAGACCTACAACGCCTACATGCTCTTCTACCAGCGGGTCAAGGTAACACAACACACACACCACACACGCACACACGACACGGGGCTGGTAGAATTGGTGCTCACTCTCGCCTCGTCGTCCGCCCAGCCCATCCACCCGGTGCGCGTGCTGGAGGAGAGGCAGGCGGCCCAGCTGGTCCCCGAGCCGATCTACAACGGCATCTGGGAGGAGAACATGGCCTTCTTCCAGGACAAGAACATCTTCGACCCGGACTACTTCGACTTCCTCTGGTCCGTCGTCAAGCTCGACCAGTCCGCTCCCGTCACTGGTACGCCCCAGCACTGCAACAAAAATTAACAATAAATAATACAAAAAAATAACAACATAATAATAATAATGTTTTGTTGTATATGCAGACGCCACGCTCGCTCCCGACATGGCGCACCCGACGATGCGCGCCATCGAGCTGGGCACCCGCTTCATCGTGGAGACACTGTCCCACGCCAAGGACAAGGGCAACCTGCCCAGCTACGTCGCCCACCTCAAGACCCTCTTCTCCCGCCACGTTCCCGCTAGCCGAGTACGTCTCATTCTCTGCGCCGGAGCGACCGTCCAGTGATGCAAAGTGGCTGACATTGTGTCGTGTGTCACCCGCAGTGGCTGTTGGAGAGGCTCGAGTCCGACATGACGTGGGTCGAGCAGCTGCTGCTCATCTGCCCCGGCCCCGAGGCCCGCGAGCCGTTCGCGTCGCTGCTGGTCCACGCGCTCACTCTCCTGGCGCCCGCCGAGCGCATCAAGTACAACGAGGAGGAGCCCGTCGAGACTACCCCTATGAAGGTCGAGGAGGACTCCGATGACGACGGGGACGACTCCAACGACGACGAGGAGCGGCTGCGTCCCACCTCCATCGTGGTCCGATTCCTCCAGAGCTACCTCTACCTGGTACGTTCGCACCACCTTCTCACCAACCCACGACCGTGGGGCATTGACTCACCTCACACCACCACCACCGCACACGCGTACCACGGCACACGAGCAGCTGGAAGACGGCATGCAGAAGTACTGGAAGAACTTCGACCACTACTTCATGGTGCTCCGCGACTTTGCGCTCATCGGCGACGAGGAGCGGCAGCTGCTGCTCGCGAAGCACGTGCCGGGCCTCCTCATCGACTTCTACCTGGGCGAGGAGTCGCCCCTGCGGTACCTCCACGGCAAGGTACAAACCCCCACCGCCCATCCACCTCAACCGCCTTCTTAATCCCTCTTAAAACAAAACTGACGCTTGCGCTGCTGACGCAGCCGAGCAAGAAGAAGAGGGCGAAGATGGGCGAGAAGAAGAACCCGCCGCGGCTGGACTACATGGTGGGCATGCTCTCGGCCCTGGTCCGAAGCTGCTCCACCGACGCTCAGGCCGATCTCGGCCGTCCGCCCACGCACCTGCCCAACAGCACCCTCCTCCACATGCCCGAACAGGACAAGGAGCTCATCTACTCCAACATCTTCTGGAAGGTTCGGCTCGGCGCGCGCGTGTGTCGTGCTGCGTGCGTGCGCGTGTGCTGATGCGTTCCATTCCTGGAATTGTTGTGTCTACAGAAAATCCTGTCCGATGGCATCAACCCGCAGGGCATGGCGGAGATCGCTGTCCACCTGTGCTGGGAGAACGAGGACATGTCGCGCAAGGTGATCAAGGAGATCTGCTCCGGCATCGACCTGGTCGACTCAGACCGCTTCAAGCCCTACTTCGAGGTCCTGTCCCAGGTGCTCGCGCTCCAGGACTCCCTCCACCCCAAGAGGTACTGTTACCACCATGCGCGTGCGTGTGTGTGGTGGTGCGTGTGCGGTGTGTGTCGTGTCGTGTCGTGCGACAAGGGGCTCACGCAACGACCGGTCATAACAGGATCGAGAACGCGATGAGCGAGTTCCTGCGGGTGATCATGTCGAACCTCAAGTTCAAGATGGCCACGCGCGAGGCCATCCGCTACCTGGTGGACGTGGCGCCCACGAACCCCTCGCTCCGCACGTGGCTCTACGAGCACAAGCATAGCTGGGTCGAGACGTGGCTCATCGTCAACCCGCACGAGATTGTGCGCGACGCCGCCCAGCAGCTCATCCAGGTCCTCGTGCCGGGCGCCACCCACATCGTGGACCAGAAGGGCGTCCGCATCGGCGTCAAGATGCCGGACAAGCTCGAGGAGGCCGACGTGCGCGTCCTGCACGACCTCTTCCGCCACCTCCTCTCCCTGCTGCCCGCCGCGCGCCGGAATACCAAGGGCGACCAGTCGCTGACCACCAACAAGGCGCCCGAGGACTACCCGCTCGGCTACTGGAAACTCACGCAGTACTTTGACCTCCTCAAGTGGTGCCTCCGCGGCCCGTCCGAGAAGCTCATCGTACGCGTTCCTCCCTTGCCCGACTGCACACACGACACGCACACACCGCACTCACGACCCACGTGCTAATGATTGATGGTCGTCTGTGGTCAACAGTTTGCGGAGTTCTTCGACGATTTTGCCAATGTGTACATTCAACTGGACAAGGCGCGGACGGAGTGTGACGAGAACAAGCGGAAGCTGATGAGCTTCTGGCTCAAGGTGGCCACGGACTGCGACAAGAACGTGCGCCTCATCACCGACTGCCCGCAGATGCACACGCCCATGTTCGACTTCTTCGCGTCGCTCAACGCCAAGGAGAAGGTGGTGGCCTTCAACGAGGAGTCGCTCTCCGACTTCTACAACCTCATGCACCTCTGCTGCCTGTCCGACCCCAACTTCCTCGAGAAGTGGGCCTTCCACCAGAACCTCGACTGGGCCGTCAAGAACGCGTACCTCCTCTCGCCGGCCTACCCGCGCACCTCGGACTCGATCTTCCCCACGCTCAAGCTCATCAGCGACTTCTCGGCCGACTACCGCCAGCGCAACCTCCCGCTCGTGCTCAAGGCCGCCAAGCTGCCCCAGAACAGCCGCAACATCATCCGCTACCTCGACGTCCTGGTCAAGAGCCAGGACGACGCCATCTCCTTCATCGAGAAGAAGGGCCTCGAGCAGATCAGCAAGTACCTCCAGGCCAAGTTCAGCACCGGCGGCGCCGGCGGCAAGGACGGCGAGGAGGCCCCCAAGGAGGAGTTGGAGGCGACGCTGCGTCTGCTGCTCAAGGCGACCGACTTCATGGTCAGCGAGCGCAGCGAGAAGTTCGAGCGAGCCATCGAGAAGGTGATGAAGGGCTGGGAGGGCAAGACGGTGGTCCTGAACGCGCTCCTGTCGATCCTGGAGCAGTACGGCTGGTCCGAGGACAAGCTGGTGCTCGAGTGCTACAAGATGATCAAGCGCTTGTGCGGGTATGCCGAAGCTTGTGCTACTCTTTTTTCTACTGTGGTGTGTGTGTGTGTGTGTGCCGTGTGCGGTTTGACACTCACCGCGTGTGTCGACAGACTGGACAAGGAGAGGACTCTGCTGGAGCAGACGCTCGAGACGCTGTACCTGGAGATCGAGAACATCCTCGAGCCCGAGCCGCAGTCGGCCGGCGGCGACAGGCCGGTCGTGGGCCGGTCGTTCTCCAACTTCGTGCAGGGCATCTGCAGCCTGGCCTTCCAGTGCTTCACCGCCGAGAACAGGCAGAGGGCCAACAACGCCTGCGGCACCGGTACGAAGCCTCCGACCGCCGTCACTTTCTTCTCCGTGCGTGTCGTGTCGTGTCGTGTCGTGTTGCAATTTTTAACACGTTTTGCTCGGCGCAGCGCTGATGCTGGCGATCGCGAGCACTCACCTGCCGCCCCGCGTGGGCGAGACGGAGACCATCGTCGGTCTGCTCCAGCGCATCTGGGACAGCAAGACGCCGATGGCCAGCCTCCTCAAGACCAACGACATGCTCCCCGAGTACCTGGCCAAGGTCCTGGGCAAGGACACCGAGCAGCTCGGCAGCGACGAGGTCTACTCTTTCGTCAAGGCCGCCTTCCCCGCCGCCGCGCACCGGTACGTCTTGCGATGTACCGCACGCGCGCGCATGTGTGGTGTGTGTGGTGTCGTGTTCTTTGTGTCGTGTGTGTCGTGTCGTGCTGACGTGTGTGCGGCGCTGCAGTATCAACGGACGATCACTGGTGGAGGGCTGCAGCCTCAAGATCGTGGGGCTCCTGGACACCATCACCTCTGGCCTGGCCCTTCCCGCCGAGGCCCCCGCTCGGATCGCCAACCTCACCTCCGCCTCCATCTCCCTCATCCACGTACGCCGACCCCCCCCCCCTCCCTCCCGACCTTCATCATCACACCCACCGTCATCATCATCACCGCCGCCATCATGTTCAGTTTCATCTCATCATTTCTTCTTCATCTTCTTTGTCGAGCAGGAACTGAAGGCGCTCAGCGTGCTGGCCTTTGCGGCGCCGGACCTGCACGGGCTGGTGCTGGGCGACGAGGAGATCCGCGGCCTGCTGGAGCAGCTCAGGGCGCTCTACTTTGGCGCCGGCGAGGCGTCGTCGCACGCGGCGACCCTGGCCACGCTCAACCCGTCGACCGAGCAGATCAAGGCCCTCCTCCGCCCGTTCCTCACCGAGGCCTTCCCTGGCTGGGAGGAGCAGCCGCGCGCCTAAGGCCTCAACGAGCAGCCTCTAGGTGTCGTCGTTGATGGCCATCATCATCCCTCTTCTCTCTCTTTCATCTCTCTTTGTCGTTGTTCCACACCATTTCAAGTCGTGTTTTTGTCATCCATCTTTCTTGTGTGCACGAAGAAGGTGAAGATGGGGCGAGCGGGCGACGCGTTGATGCTGGGCCACAGCGCGGCGGTGTTTGCGGTGTGCGTGGTACTGGACTGCGAGGACAGGGTGGTGGAGGCGTTGTGCCTGGCCGGCGTGTTCGTCTACGCCGTGCATTCGGCAATGCTGGTGATCGAGGGCGAGGGCGCCTCGAGCATGCTCGTGCACCATCTGCTGGCGATCGCGATCCAGTCCATCTTCTGGTGGCACGCGGACTCGCCCGAGCAGCCTCTCGCCCTGTGGAAGACCTTCGCCTGGACCGAATTGGGCTCGACGCTGCACAAATGCTCGCCATTTATCCCCAATTTCCGAACATGGAGGCTCAAGCGATGGTACCAGGCGCTCTACCTCACGTGCTACCTCGTCACCTACGCCATCATCATCGTCTGGCTCGCGAGCCAGAGCCGGCATCATCCCACAAGATCGCATCTGCTGGGAATCGCGACCGAGGTGTGGCACGCGAGCCTGATCTACAGCCTGATCGCCCTCCTCGCCTACTGGTGGTGGCAATCTCTCAACGCCCTCCGCCACGTCGTTGCTCAAATGCGATTAGGCGCCAAGATCAGAGATTAGCGATCAGAGATTGTAAATAAAAAATAAAATAGAATATTTATTTGCGATGGATGCAAGAGAGACGCCTGCAGGCGTGGAAGCCTCCAGCCGCCTCATAGCGGCCGTGATCAAGGGTGATGAAGCAGGGGTGATGGCCCTCCTGGCCCGTACGATGCCTCCGTTTCGCATTCCTTCAACCAAAGTAGAGCATAACTTGGGTGTACACGGTGCACCGTGGCGCGCAGAGGAGGGGGTGGATGTGAACGAGAGGGACGCCACCACGGGTGGGTGGCCGCTGCTGGTCGCAGCCCAACGCCAGGACTTGGCCATCGCGCAACTGCTGGTCGACCACGGCGCCCGCTGCTGCGCCCACGCAACGACGACAACTACGACAGAGCTGCACGCGTTGGCCGAGGCCGAGAAGGGACCCTTCCCTCGCCAGGTACCTCCCAGGCCGCCGCCGCCGACCACCAGCGACCGCGCCGCGAGAGCTTGACCCCTTTTCTTTGCTGGCTCTCGTCCAGGCGGGGACGACAGCGGCACGGCTGATCGGCGGCATCAGGGCGTGGCTCGCGCCCTCGGCGTCGGTCAAGCTCTGGCAACTGCTCCTCGAGAACGGCGCCAGCGCCACTGAGTACCCCTCCCCTCGCACCACACCTTGGCCAGGGGCACGCAGGCCTTTGTAGTGGACCACCACTCACCACGTTACACGTGGCCCTGTGCGTCTGGCCCGGGGCACGCAGGCCTGCATTAGACGGTAGTGGCGCCACGCCGCTTCACGTGGCCTGTGCGAACGGCAACTGGCCCGTTGTGCAGTTTCTCCTACGAGGTGGGCTCGCCTCTTGTAACCTTACATGTAGCTCTCTCCATCAGCTCATCATGCTCGCGGAATGAGACAGGGAAGTATGTGGACGACTATGGCAAGAACAAGCGCGATGCCCATCGCCGAGAGACGCCGCTCCACTACGCCGCCCGACACGGGCACGAGATTGTGGTGTCGCTCCTCCTCTCACACGGGGCGAACTCGCTGGCCGTGGGCGCGCACGGCGACGCATCGGAGGTACACCACACCCTAACCCGACTCAGAACCGGCCAGACCGAACTGAATCCTGAGCCACCACTATGATGAGAGCAGGTGGCGAGGCAGGCCGGACATGGCGCAATGGCGGACATGCTTCAGGTACACGCCTACCGGACGTGCCCACTGTTGTGCCTGCCCGATGAAGTGTTGCTCCGTGTGCTCGAGGCTTTGGATCCCTATGACCTGTGTACTGTCGCACAAGTTTGCTCCGTACGCCTCACTACCACCACACGAGGCCCACGACACGCCGACACACGACGACGCACACGCACACGCACACGCATCTAACGCGCAGATATATGATGCTGCACTGCAGGTGCTCAACGAGCTGAGCAGTGTCAACTGCCTCTGGCGCCGGTTCTGTGACGCCCGGTGGGTCGACGCCAAAGACATACCTTGGAAGAGCAGGTATTTGGCGTGGCTCAAGCCTCGGCTCCGTCGGCGCCTCGCCCGCCGCAGGCAACGTACCGTCCCCTCTCGCATCTTCAAATCCCCGTCCACACACCCACGTGCACCTGCACTAATGCCGCCTTGTCTCCTCAACTTGAGCAGAAGAACAAGAACAACAAGATCACGAGGAAGGAAAATGGTCGCTGGCCGATCGTAAATCATCATCGTCATCGGCGCTGCCAACCTTAAAGTTCATACTACTCGGTGACACGGGTCCGTGTACCACGCCTTATTCGATGTGCAGAGTGTGTTGGTGTATTTCTTTTTTCGTAGACCAAAGTGGACTGATATGAGGCGCATGTGGTGATCAGGTGTGGGCAAGACCGCGCTCGAACGGCGCTTTGTCAAGGGGACCTTCGCAACCGGTGAGTACTCGTGCGGGTACTACCTGGGGTTCAAGAAGCTCGACCTCGACGGACTGCGCGTCATGATTGAAGGCACCACCCCATAATGACCTGCGGCGTTTACTCTTTCTCATCTGCATGCACGCATATCAACGTGCTGCAGTGTGGGACACACATGGCCAGGAGCGCTACAACTCATTTCCGCGTGTATACTACCGCGCGGCGCGGGTAGCGCTGGTGGTCTACGACATTGCCGACCGCGCCTCGTTCGACCACGTCGGACGCTGGGTGAATTCCGTTCTGGCCAACACCACCGGGGCCGGCAACGATGAACCGCTGGTCATGACACTCGGTACGTGCACTCTGTTCGGTTGCACTTGTGTGGCGTTTGTTTTGTTTCATTTTGTTTTGTTTGACTAACTCGCCCACCACAGTTGGGGCGAAGAGTGACAAGGAAGCTCACAGGCAGGTGAGCGCGGCCGAAGGTCAGGCACTGGCTCTCGAGCTCGGTATGGCCTGGGCCGAGGTGAGCAACCTCACCGGCAGCGGAGGTGCGCTCTCGCATCCTGTAATGGATCATCTGGCCCGTCGGCGACCTGCTGACGCACGACACACACTAAACGCCCAACACACACACCACACACACACACCACACTGCACATCCCAGTGAACGAGGTGTTTGAGAACTCGGCCCTGTCCGCCATGGCTGATGAACTGGCGCCACCGATTGCTGCTGGCGGTTTTGTGTGCCACCTCCCAGAGGCGGTTCTCCATCAACTCTCCGTCCAGAAGCCCACAACAAACACCACCACTTCCTCGGCTTGCACACTTCAATAATGACAGTCGTGTTGATTGGCGATGAGATTGATTTCACAATGGACAAGACGAAGACAGGCGCGGATCACGGCGCGGCGGGTGCCCAGGGCGTTGTGGTGTGTGGAGTGACAGATTGTGCGACTGCCGGGCAGCCTGGGCCGTAGGCGTATCGACGCCGTCCACGCCATAGGCGTATCAACGCTCAACCCTCTGTCGTACGACGAGTTCAGGAAGGCCTACACCCAGCCGAGCCACCTACGCCAAGAGGATTGCCACGAGCACTACAGCAGCGACTTCAGCGTACGATGAGGACTTTGAGCAGGAGCGCTCGGAAACGGAACAGGAAGATAGCGATGATGATGATGGCACCGACGACAGCTACGACACCCCTGGCTGAGGAGAAGAAGACGGCGGTGAGGGGCGGAGGAGTTGGTCCACGCACGCTCCAGCGTTGTTGCCGCCAGCGGATAGGTGGCTGCGACTAGCTTCAGTGAGGACAGTGTACTCCTGCCCATTGGGAGATTTTATAAAATATATTCCCCGGTTCAGTGAAAAGAGGCCTCGCCTTTCTTTTTACAACCTGCACCAACCAACACGTGATGGAGAAGAGGGGGCCGGACCAAAGTTTGATGGAAGATGCAGCAGCCACGGAGGTGGTTGTGCTCGCTGAGTGGGTGAGACATGGCGTGGCGGAGGAAAGAGGCCAGGCAGTACTGGCGGCACTGGTGCCGCACCTGTCCGGCGGCAGCGATGGTGGCGATGATGTCGAACGGTACCAAGACGACGACAGCCCATCGCCGGCTGAGTTCCAGGCTGTGCAGCGGTTGATGCTGTGGCTCTTTGCCGATACGACTCCGCGCGGCTGCCTGGCCTTTCTTCTCAAGGAGCTGCCCTGCGCCACCAGCCCCGCACCGGCCCAACTGGGCTGCCACACGGCCACGTCACTGATGATGACGAAGGAGGAGGTGTTCGCGGCGCTGGCACCGGTCGTGCTTCAGCGCTTCATCGCGGGCGTCCATGCACGCTCATCGCCCCACGGGCATCATCGGCTGTGCGTTGTCAAGCAGGAGTGGGTCACCGCCATGTGGCAGCTCATCGAGCGCGCTCTGCCCATGGCCGCTGCGCACCGCCACACCCAGCAGCAGCAGCAGCAGCAGCAGTCGCACAGTCGCAGCAGAGACCCGAGGTTGCCCGACGACTGCTGGAGTGCTTGAGAGCGATCCAGCGTCTCGCGCCGATCAGGCCTGAAAGCAATGGTAAGTGGCAATCGGGTCCCGAGTTCAACGGCTATCACTGCGCCATCCTGGTCGAGCGCGTACTACACCAGGACGACCCCGAGCTGATCTATGGTACTGCGCGTCATGCTAACATTGCAATTGCGGTGCAGCGCGAACTCACGCACATGTGCGTAATCGTATGCGTGCGTGTGCGTGTGCGTGTGCGTGTGCGTGTGCGGTGGTGCGACTATGCAGCTGGCATGAGTTGGGTGAAAGCTTTAGACAAGTCTGGCTTCACTGCCCCCAAACCGCTGGCCGACTGCCTGATGCAGCTCACCCACCACGAGAACCAGGACGTGCGCCAGACCCTGGCGCGCCGCCTTCCCTGGATCGGTCTACCGTTGGAGTCCTATCACAGCGTACCTAGCCTTTGCCTTCCCCATTGTTGGCTGTTTTTCTTTGGTTGCTGACGTGTCTTCACTGGTGGGGTTCTTCGATCGAAGAGGCTGTGGTCTATGGCGGTAGAGGACCCCGCGCCTGGCGTGCGCTACGAGGCATTTGTCGCCCTTACTGACGTGCTGCACTCCGAAGAGCACGTCAATCCGCCCCCGGACCGCACTCCACTGCTTCTTCTCGAATGGCTCGAGCGCGAAATCGACGCGGACGTGCTGGTCGGGGCATCGACTATCTTCTCGTTGATCTTCAACGCCGAGCTGTTCGACGGCTGGCAACACCTTCCTCGGTACGTCAATGAGAACGCATAGTGATGATGATGATGATGATGATGATGATGATGATGATGATGATGATGATGATAGATGATAGAAGATAGGTGACGGTTATGCAATGTATTTGTGCTCATGACGAGGTATTCGACACAGGTTGGCGCGGGCCTTCATCAAGCAGGTCAAGCTCCCAGAGCCGAGCGTGCCGTCTCTGGTGTGGTTGGCCACAGACTGCCTCTCGAAGCACTGGGACGCGTTGAAGAGCGACGCGCTCGAGCGCTTGCCCAAAGAGCTGCACGGCAGCGTAGCCCAGGCCGTGCGACAGCAGGCACGCAACGACGTGAGGAAGCAGGAAGGCGTAACACCGCCGTCGTTTCGGGACGTCTGTTTCAGCTGCCTCGAGTTCTTGAGCGCTCACCCCTCGGGGCTGGCGGAGCTGCAGGCGAGAGTGTTCGAGATGCTGCTTCCGTCCAACACCTGGAGAGCTCGGTTCGTCATTCCATCACGGCCATCATCTCAGGGGATTGATGGTGGATTGGTTGGCCTCACCACTTAACGATGTAACCTGTGGAGCAGAGAATGCGCATTGTTCACGCTGTCGATGTTGGCCAGCAGTCAGACCTGCGCCGCGGAGGTTTGCCAGGTCGCACTCACTGAGGCGATCGCCGGGCTATCCGACCCTCAGGTGCGCTCTCTCTTCCTGCATACATACGTACACAAGATATCCTACTCTCATGTTCATGAATGACAGATGGAGATCAGGGCGGCCTGCTGCACACTGCTAATCGATGTGCTGCCAAACGCGGGCGACTTCCCAGGCCACCGGATCACCGCGGTGGCCAACGCCCTGTGCCGCCTCATTCGCGACTCCCACCTGCGGGTGGCCACGCAGGCTCTATGCGCACTGGGCACACTCTTGGATTGCCATGACCAGCACCTGGACCAACACCTACAGGCCGAGATCTTTACTGAATGTCTGGACCTGTGGGAAACCCATCCGGTACAGTACTGTATACATAGCACGCGACAGGCGCAACATACTCACTTCCACTCCTCATTCTCTGCATTCCTCACTTTCAAGGGCTGTCAAGTGTCCAGCCTGCTGCATGGCTTGGTTACTCGCTGGAGGCTGCTGACATCCGCGGGCATGGCCCCACTGCTGGCCAGGGGAGTCAAGCTTCTGTCCACCGAAACGCTGTCGGCCGAGGTCACCGGCGTCTATGCCAGGTGTGAGCTGGTGGAGGATCTCGCCTCGCTCCTCATCCACTCGCGCGGTACTTCTCACCCACTCGCGCAGGCCGGGCTGGATTGCTCACAGCATCGTGATGCAGCTGTCCTGCCAGCTGCGCTGATCAAGGTCGTTGCGCGGAACTGTGTGACGGTCCTTGCTCGCTCTCTCCCGCTCGACGATGAGTTGCCGGTGCGCACGCTGGCCTGGAGATTGTTTGGGTTTGAGAGCTGATGATGGTACCAGGTGGCGAAGCCCCTCGTAAGCCTCTTGCTTCTGCTCATCAAGAAAGACAAAGGCGGAGATTTGGAGTGGCTGCTGGCTCGGGAGGCCGGCTTCGTACCACTTCTGCAAGCCCTCCTTCAGGTTTTCTTCCAACGTTCAGACACACCGTGACAGTAACACTGCGCTGACTGAAGGCCCGTTTTGCCTGTACAGAACGACCAGTACTGGGACAGGGAGACGGTCATCGGCCTCTTGAGACGGGCCATTGACCAATACCCCGCCCGCGCAGAGCAGCTCGCACAGGACGTGCTGCCGTCGATCGTCGCTAGACTCCGCGCTGGCCTATCCTCACACGAGTCTGAGCACGGCTTCTTCAAACTCGTCGGTACCCACAACAAAACGCACGCGCGCGCGCGCACGCACACACACACACACACAACACGACACTCCGACACACACGACACACACACGACACACGGCGCACACGACACAACAACACTCACATGAGCGGGTGCGGATGTTCGGACTCCAGGCCAGCTGGCGCTCAAGTTTCCGACCCCACTGGAGCCGTGGGCGCTACCTCTGTCGGTTGCGCTGGTGACGGCTGATGGTCGGTCGGGCGCAAAGTTGCGGCACTACCTGCCCTTCGTGCTGCTGCTCGGCCGCGACCACGCGTCGCAGGTCGACCCGAGCGCGATCGTTGAGCTGACGGAGTGGTTGCCCTTCAACTCCACCACCCATCGGCCCAGGCTCCGGCGAGCCCAGGTACTGGCCAAGGCCGAGAGCCTGGCCAACCTGCTACTGGTCGCGCTGCAGGCTGAGGCGGTCCCGGGCGTCAACCGGGTGAAGGCCCTGTGCCTGCTGGCTGCATTCGTGAGCGAGCACCTGGCCCAGGACGGTGATAAGGAAACGATCGACGCCGACGACACGGAAGATGATGATGGCGAAGATGAAGAAGAAGCCGAAGCGGTGGAGGCTGAGGAGGATGGTGATGAGGCCAATGATGATGGTGATGCGGATGACGACGCTGCGGGTGAAGGCGACGGTCTTGACGAAGCCGCCAAAGACGAATACGAGGAAGAAGAGGAAGGCGAAGAAGTCGTAGAGGAAGAGGAAGAGGAAGAGGAAGAGGAAGAGGAAGAGGAAGAGGAAGAAGGCGAAGATGAAGATGAAGATGAAGATGTAGAGGACGGCGAGTGGTACAACGAGGAGAGCGACGGGGACGACTACTATTTGGCCCGGATGACCGAAGCCGACTTCACAGAGTTCGTGGCGGCCACGCTGGAGCCTGGACTGCGGGCCAAGGTGGCCGCTGCTGTGACGGCCCTGCTGACCAGCTACGGTCAGTTGAGAGACGCAGAGACGAAGGAGACGGTGGCGGCCCAGTGGAAGGCCCACACCGCTGGTGCGCCGGGCCGGAGAAATGCCGTGCGGGGGCTGCTGCGCGCCGTCGCTCCCGCAGAGGTGCTCAACGACCGCGACCACCCCATGGCCTCAATCTGGGCCGCACAAGATTAATAGGAACTGACAGAGTCAACAGCTGCAACAGGGTTTTTACTCCACCTGTCCTTTGCCGACCCCAAGTGGGCTACTGATGTTGCGTTTTGTGGTTCATTTTGACTTTTTTCTTTTATAAAATTGGATTACGAGCGAAGAAGGGGCAGAAGAAGAGTTGGCGGCGAGCGTCGTCCAACAACAGAAGACTCAGATGAACATGAACATGTCGGGTTCGGGCAGCACTGAGGTGCCGACGCGGCACCGCGGGAGTATTGGCGCAGCAGGAAGCGGAAGCAGCAATAGTGCCGCCTTCTCCCCCGTCGCAGATGCTCAGGCCGCCCCGTCTCCTCACTCCTCTACGCGCCGGCGGGTCCTCCCTGGCCGCCCCTCCAAGAGCAACAAGGGTACCCCATCTTTTTCCTCTTCACATCTTTGCTTTGTTTTCTTGTTGAGCGCAGGCGGGAGCTGAGCGAACACGTGTGCGTACGTGTGCCGGCAAAAGGGGCGGTGGCGTGGGGCCGACAGGGCCTGGCGGCGTACGGGTGCCAGTGCTGCGTGGTCGTGGTGGACCCGTCCTCGCTCGCCCTCCTCCAGACGCTCGACGAACACCGCGCACCCGTCACCTGCCTCCAATGGTCCGCTCTCTTTTCTTTTCTTCCTCGCCTCTTCACTTCTCTCGAGGTGCGCACCGAGCAGTGGGCTACAACCGGAGTGCTGTTGGCGGCGCTGCGGACAGGGGCCACGAGAGCTGGGAGGACAAGACCTCGGTCGAGTATCCGCTCATCCTGGCATCGGGCGACGCGGCCGGCAGCGTGATCGTGTGGGACGTACTCAAGGCCGAGATCAAAGCCACCATGGGTGCCTCTCTTTCGTCCATCTGGACCCGCGCCTTCTCATGAGAGTGATTTTAATTAATCATTAATTTTTTTTATTTATTTCTTTTGGCAGAGAGCGGACAGGAGGATGCGGCGGTGCTGGGGCTGAGCTGGCATCCGGAGGAGCCCTCGCTGCTGCTGTCTCTGCACCACCCCAGCACGATCATCCAGTGGGACACCGCTACCGGCAACAAGGTCCCACACTCTACCACCACACGCCACACACACACCACTCACACGACACACACGACACACACCACACACATGATACACGACATACACTCACACCATCTGTAACGCGGGGTGGGAGAGCATAGCTGTGGAGCCGAGAGCTGCCCGAGAAGCTCCTCGCTGTCGAATTCGACCGGTTCAATCCCGAGGAGCTGTGGGCGGCCTCGGCCGAAGGGAACATGTACCTCATCAACGGTACCGTTGCGCTCCTCGTACTCTTCTCTCCCCAGTTCTCATGGACTCAACGCTCATCTTGACATGGGCCACACGTGTAGTCGGCGAGCCGCGCTCGGCGCCGGCTGGGGAGGCGGTGCTGCGGAACAGCGCGGGGCAGCACGAGGGCGCCGGCAAGCTGCTCCAGATGGCCTTCTCGCCCACAGCGCGGCACGTCGTCTACTTCCTCTTTCCGCACCGTGTCCTCGCCTACGATTTCGGCCTACACCAGGCACGCGCCCACCGTTTGCATCGACGGCCTCCCCTCATAGACCCCAGAGCAGTGTGACACATTGAGAGAGCTCACGATGGGTTGTGTGCTGTCATATCATGCGGTGCAGGTGGTGGGCACGATCGCGTTAGAGGCCAGCAAGTCGCCCTTTCGCCACATGATCCTGTCGGGCGCCCCGACGCGCATCTTTTGTCTACAATTCGATGGCTCGTACGCAGCGCTTCTCTATTTCTACCATGTGGACCTCGTGCTTTGCTGCTACATCGAAAACCTCTCGTCACCTGTGTGTCGCGTGGTGCGTGTCGCGTGTGGCCGAGTGTAGGCTGATTGTGTACAAGAAGCACGAGGGCCAGAGCTACACATTTTATCGGGAATGCTTGTGCGAGGCGCCCAAGCAATTCAAGCCGGGCAAGAAGAACCAGCAGACCGGCGCCTACGGGATCGCCGTCAGCCCGCTTCAGCCGCACCAGCTCATTGGCCTCATGAGCGACAGCAACCTGTACACTGCCGGTGGTGGTGGTGGTGGTGGTGGTGGTGGTGGTGGTGGTGTTTGCTGATCGATCTGGACGCAGGTGGCGGTGGGACTTCGTCGAGGGAGGCAGCCCCACGCGGGCCGGCGGTCGCGTTTATGTGAGCGGGCAGGCCCATCACCTGTCCAACCCGGTGAGCACGGTCACCGTCTCGCCCTTTGCCCAGCGCGGCCACCCCCTGCTCGCCCTCGGCACCTTCAACGGCACCATTCAGGCACACACTCCCCTCGCCTTGTGCTCCCCCCCCCCCAAGCCGTCGCTTACAGTCGTGTTGCCCGGGTCGTGTGTCGTGTGGCATAGATTGTGGATATGGTGAAGCTGCGCACACGGTCGCAGTATCTGGTGCACGGACCCATCGCGCCCTCCAACTTCCCCGTCCGCGGCCTGTACTGGCTCACCGCCTCCACGCTCATCTTCTACACCTGTGAAGAGTCCGTCTTCCCACTCCCCCTCTCGCTCTCCCAACTACACCGTAAGGCCCAGACTGACCCCAGTGCATTTTTTTTTAAAATTACGTTAAAAAAAATTCTTTAGCGTGGGCAAGGGCGAGTTCATGAACAAGGTCTTCCTGCTCGACCTCCACACGGGCCGCTTGCGCGAAATCCGCAAGGTACGCCTGAACCGGGCGCATACTAGAGAGCCAGACTGGTGGGTGGGTGGGTGGTTGGCGCGCCACTCATTTGGGGAATGCGCGCAGAGCAGCGCGGCCGAGGCGACGTTCATCCGCGGTCTGCGGGTGTCGCCCTTGCGACAGTACTTTGTGCTGATGCTCAAGGACAAGCCGTTCGAGTTGTGGGACATCGCCTCCCTCTCCACGATCGCCCTTCTCAAGGCCTCGCAGGTCACCGCGCTCGACTGGTGTCCCACCCAAGGCACTCCTACCGGTGCTCTTTCCTTCCTCTTCCGCACGCACACACGCCACACGCACCATCGCACCATCGCACATGCCAACGTACGACCCGTCATGCTGACGCTTTTGGTTTGGGCCTGCAGGCGCGGGTGTTCGGCCCCGCGAACAGTTTATGTTCGTGCTGGCGGACGGCACGACACACCAACACTCGGTGGGCGATGGCGGAGTCACGGTGGTCCCTTTCCAGGGAGAGGTCGGAACCGGCATCATCTCCTCCATTGCCTGGTACTACTGCTGTACCCCTCTTTTTCCACCGCACCCACGCCTTGTGCCTCTAAAACACACCGCACACACATGTAATGCAGGAAGGACTCGCTGCTTGTGAGTGGTGACACAGCGGGCACCATCCACTGCTACAATTTGGAGACCAAGCGCGCCCTGTACGTTCTGCTTTTCTTTGTACACGCGCCTCGCCCTTGTCCATAGCTTCTCATTTCTTTTCTTTGTGGGGGGGAACGCGCAGCGTCTTCAACACCAACAAGGGTCTCGTCAGGAACATCGTGGTACGACCACACATTTGCACTTGAACTCTTTAAACCGATTCATCAAGTTGCCAGCCATTAATGATGTTTGTTTGTTTGTTTGTTTGTTTGTTTGTTTGTTTGTTTGTTTGTTTGTTTGTTTGTGGTGATGATCTGAAGTTCGCGCCCGGCGACAAGGGCCACCAAATTCTCGTGAACTTCAGCGAGGGCGAGTTCGGGGTGTGGGACGTGGACCACGGCGTGCGCATCTCCACCAGCAGCTACCTTAAGAGCCGCGACCTGCGCGCCCTGGACCTCGACTGGCTCACCCCATCGCACCCCGTCGTCTGTACGCTCTGGAACTCGCCCCCCCCCCTCTTCATCAATCCCACTCACCACCGACGTGTGTCGTCGTGTTCGGCAGCCACGAGTGATGGCTGCGTGCGAGTGCTCGACCGGTCTCTTTCGTCTTCGCCGTCGCCCATTTTGTGGGAGCACGTCGCCGAGGAGGCGCCGCTCCACTCGCCCGCCCTCCTCGGCGGCTTCCTCCCAGCCATGCTCAAGGTACTTTCCGGCGGGCTGGGCTCTTGAGATGTTGGGGCTGACTCGACGCCCGCCCTTCGACAGGTGCACCTGCTCCATCCGCGGTCCAAGGTACCGCGTGGCCTTGTCGAGGCCCTCGACGCGCTCGACGCCGACACTCTCCAGGTAGCCACCCATCCAGCCTGCACCCCATAGGGCTCAGCCCTGACAATCTCCCCGTCGCGCTTCGCTTTGGTTCTTGGTGTGGCCCACCAACAGACGCTGCGAGACCCGTCGCTCTCGATCACCGAGCGTTGCCGGCGCGTGGCCACCTATTTTGCCGACGAAAACGGTACGCCGCGCCCCCACACCAAGTCTTGTGTCGCGAGCCTCCCTGAACTTGGTGTGTGTGTCTGCACAGAAATCCGCTTCTGGACGCTGGCCGGCCACTTCCTGGCTGGACCGCCGCAGGGCACCGCCGCCTCGTCGTTGTCGGTGGACGACCTGACATCGAAGCGGGCGACGCTGCAAGCGACGCCGACGACGGCTTCTGGCGGAGTTGTTGGCGGCGACGGCGGCGATGACCCCAACAGCCGACCTCCGGCGTCGGCGGCGGCCTCAATCCCAGCTGAGGCGGGCGGAGGAGCACCCAAGCTGGAGTTCGGCGTGCTATGCAGCAGCCGCACGGCGCGCACGCTTGAATGGGAGCGTGCTCGAGCAAGCGAGCTAGCGAGCGCCAACATCACCTACGACCTCTCCAGAAAGCTCACCGATCTTCGTACGCTCCTCTGTTCTCGTCGTGTCGTGTCGTGTGCGTGCGTGCGTGCGTGCGTGCCGTGTCAAAAGAAACTGACAGTGGTGTGTGGACACGGTCATGCAGATCTGCTGCTCGGGGAGAGGGACAAGGCCATGCGTCTCCTGCTGGACACGCCCGCTGCGCACCCCAATTTCTATCCGGACATGCTTAAGGCCTGCGTCGTTGCCGCCTCTCACTCACAGCAGTCCTTCCAGCAAACCGTGCGTCAACTCATTCCCCACTTGCCTGTGCGCGCACACGCGCGTGTCGTGTCATGTGCGTGTTATGTGCGTGCCGTGTCGTGTTGCGTCTCATCATCAACAATGGGCGAAGGTGGGCGAGGTGGCGCACAACATGGTGGCGAGCGGGTGGCTCGAGGACGGAGTGCAGCTGCTGTGCCTGGTCGGGCGCGGCGCGGAGGCGTGTCGCCACCTGCAGGACCACGCCCGCTGGACCGACGCCGCGTGGCTGGCCAAGATCGTACTGTCCGACGCCGAAGCCGCGGCCGTCCTGCGCCACTGGGTCGCGCACCTCGTCACCGCCGGACGCAAGGCCAAGGTACCACTCTCCCCCGCGAGGCCTGCTGACCAATGCTGACGTCACTGCGTGTGTCGTGCGGTGTGTGTGTGTGTGTGTGGGCGTGTGGCGTGTGCGGCTCGCAGGCGGCCGAGATTTTGCTGTCGCTGGGCGAAGGTGCGGAGGCGGTGGAGTTGCTGTACGAGGCCGGGGAGCTCGGGCGCGCGGCGCTGCTGGCCCAGGCCTGCCCGGCCGATCGCAAGCCCGAGCCGGGCCTGCTCACGCGGGTCTACGCCGACTACGCAGCGCGCCTCAAGGCCCTCGGCCACCCCGCCATGTCCCACTACCAGGCCCTCCTCTCCACCCTCGTGAACTCCCTGTCCTCCTGACCTTGTCGTTCCTGGGGTTGATTTTCTTTTCCTCGTTCATTTCTTCGTTTAATTTCTTTTTTCCTATGTTGGATGGTATATTTTTTGCTCCGAAGCAGTGTCACAGCATGTCATTCTTTTCTCCACCCGTCACCGACGCACACGTCTGCACCACTCGAAAACACAGGTATTGGCCAAGAAGCTTGCATTCAAGAACCATCCTGGAGGCCAGTCACAGTCCTGACAAACAAGAGTACAATGAGCACCAACAATTACCCTAGTCGCCCAGCCTGGACCTGCAGGACGCCTCAGCAGCCACCATCTCTCAGCGTCTCGTGCAGTGTTCCGCCTGCGGCAAGGTTAGCCTCCTCATACTCGACTGTTGTGGTGGTTGATGCTGATGCCTCGACACCGCCATGTAGGAGCCCAAGGACGTGGTCGCGTCGCCGTGCTGCGGTGACGTGTGGTGCTGGCAGTGTGCCGTCGAGCGCCCGGCCCTCGACACCCGCTGCCCGTGCGGGCGCGAGCTGGCCCTCGAGGACTTCCGCCCGGCCAAGGCCATCCAGGCACTGCTCAAGCGGGCCGCCGCCACGACGACGTCTGGTGGTGGTGTGGTTTGGCCCAGGCCCTACGCCGAGATCGCCCACGACGACCTCCTGCCGTGCCCGGAGAGCTGCGGGGCCGTGGTGCGGGCCGACCGGGTGGAGGACCACCTGAAGGAAAACGTGGCGCTGCACCTCGAGCAGCTTCACGCCACAGTTGAGGTGCGCTTGGCCTTCCACGATAGACCACCGTCATGGCTATCTTGATCGCATCACATTGTTGATTGTGGTCCCACAATGCCACAGGCCCAGAAGACTCGGATCGCGCAGCTGGAGAACGAGCGCCAGATGGCCGACCAGGCGCCGCCCAAGCGCCGTAGCTGCATGCCGCACTTCGACCGGAGGGTGGTACGACCACCATCCCCAGCAACATTGCTTGTGCTGACAGCAAACCATCAACCAAAAAATAGAAGGGGGCGATGGTAGCGCTGTACCTGGTGGCTGTGCTGGTGACGGTGCTGGCGGGCATCCCATTGATAGCCAAGCTGGTGGTCGCCGGGCCGATGGCACTGATGGGATTGCTGTACCTGGTGGCTGTGCTGGTGACAGTAATCGTTCCGTTGATGGCCACTCTGGTGGTGGTCGCCGGGGCGATGATGGGCCTGTACTGGGGCTTCAAGCGCTGGGCGGGCCGGCTGCGCATGTCGCGGTCTCCCTCGAAAACTGCCGAGTCCAAGGCCGGGGCGATAATGGGCCTGTGCTGGGGCTTCAAGCGCTGGGCGGGCAGGCACACACCGCGGTCTCCCTTCAAAACCACCAAGACCAAGCTCCTCTTCGCCATGCTCTGCACCGCCATCTTCTCCTCCATCTGTACCCTCTTCTTCTTCCTCTGCTACCTGCACTAGTTGCACCAAAGAGATCGATTTGAAAACAACAAGTTTTCGGTCGAAATATTGAGCCCTGTATGGCAGCATCCCAGCCCGCTCTCAGTATTGCCCGCCGGCAAGGTCGTGGAGCGTCGTCGAATTCTCTTGTGGGCGAACAACATGACCCTCAACTCTCTTCAGCTTTCTAGTCAGTCTCACACAGTGCCCATTACGAGGTGGACCATGAAGCAGCAGCTCC